ACTCGGTGTAGTGGGCAATACCCTAGGTCAGGTTGTCCCTGTGACCGTGAGGCAGCTCTGATCTGCGCTGTGGCCAGGCTGCAACCAGCCGTGTGTTGGGGTCAGTCTGCTTTAACTGACTCTTCACTTTCAGCCCAGGTAAAGTCTGGCTGACCCTGCTGTGGAAAAGCAATTTACATTGCTTYTAACATTGGACCTGCTTCTCCACGTATGCCTTCCAAGATCCATACAACTCAATTGCTTTGATTTTCCCCCAGCACAAAAGAGGCTGAATTTTACTCTCGGTATGAAGTTGCATCGACTTCTTTAATGCCATTACATTAATATCAATTTGCAATGTCCAAAAGGACTAAAARGCCTGTTTCCAGAATGAAACAGAGAAGAAACTGTCATCAGACAGGACACAGTGGTGTACTACTGTTAGATACTGGGATTTTCTCAGGAAATTGCGGGATGGGAAATAGGAACTTTGAGAACTGTAAAGAGAGTTAAATCCAAGTTAAATCCRTAAATTTCTGTAGTTTGTAGAAATTCTGCAAATAAATATGTAAATATTTATCTTTTACACTGAATTCTTGAAGTTCTTACCCAAGTCATAGAAAGCCTCCTGTTCTCCAGAGTCCTTAAGCATGTGCTTAACTAAAAGAAGAAGGGATTTTAAGGAGAATTTCTGTGGAGCTCTGTGTRCTTCCTATCAGCTGCTTCCATGTGGGAATCAAGCCATTTATGTATACAGTTCCTGACTCTGGGGCAATTAAAATCTCAGCCATAATGTTATATTAAGACAGAATTCGGTGTGCCTAATGACATATTAAATCTTCCTAAATTATAGCTAAATTACAAAAAGGACTAATTTACCAAAACCAGTTACTAAATGTTTAGAAAAGGAAGCTAATTGAATTATCCCTTGTTTGTCAGAGACAGATAATCTCCTTGTGAGAAATCTCATTTTTTCTGAGGCATGATTAATTGGCCTGACGAATCAGAGATTATGACAAATTTCGCAGGAGAAGATAAAAGATAAGTCAATAGGAAGGCCTGGGAGCAGAGAACAAGCAGCTCTGCTTTGGTTTGGGGCTAGGTGCCACTTCTGGATTGCCCCCGATCCTTGTGGGGTCTCTTTGCTGCTGCTGCTGCTGAGGATGAGCCTTGCTTCTCTCACTGCCATCCTTTGCTCCTTTCCCTGACACCCTCAAAGCCTCAGCCCAATTCTAATCAATAACATCACCTCCCCAAGAAGGATGCCTGRAAAACCGTATGCCTCTAGGCCAATGACTGGTTTCTACTGAATAAACAACATGAGATAATTTTTTTATTTTCCTTCAGTCATGGTAGGAAGGCATTCATGACTCATACAGAAGGGCCAGTCACAGCTTCATCATGTTTGAAAAGCCTGGCACATGTTAGATGTGAATCAAAAGTTTATTGGTTACGTAAATGTTATATCACACAGGTTTGAGAACAATTTTCCATTTACAGCATCTTGTATGTGTAGATCATGCTGTAATAGGATTTGAGTTATTGTCTCATTAATATTATTTGGAAAATGTTATTAATTAGATCTGCATTATTTATTAATGTGCTCAAAAGCAAGGATATTTAAAAATTATAGTGGGGGTTGCCACAGCCACMTGACTTGAAGCCTTAGTGTCTCAAGGAGCGTATCAGAAAGTGCAAAACTCCCAAATTAAATAATGACTGTTGGCACCATTCTGCTTTTTCTGGTGTTCCTGACTGCTAAAATAGTGATTTGAAGCAAGCATAAGTTCACATATCCTGTGTTTTCCTCTACAATCACTTTTTACCCCTTCCCAACATCAGTTAGTTCTCTCTCATATTTAATTTTCCTTTCTATCATCAGTTTGCTTATAAGAAAAAACAATTTCCCAGACATCTCCAGCCAAGTCCCTGTGAACCTAGCACTGTCCCCAGTCCCACCGCACACACATCCAGTCAGCTCCTCACACCAGGACCCTCTGAGGTACCTCAGAGCCTTTCCAGCTCTGCTTTGGTCACTGCATCCCTTTGGCAGGAGGCAGCAGAAGCCTCCAGTGGGCAGAGGCCCAAAGGAAACAGACGGGTACCTGCAACCTTTGAAACATGAGGCTTTCCTTCAGGACAAAAATGTGTCAGTGGCCTTGCAAAGAGGAACCTGGGTTGGAACAGCGAGGTCCCAGAGCTGTCAGAGACACCCGGGGTGTGAGGGGCAGGTTCACCTTCCAGCCTGCCCATCCTTCACAGGTGCTTTGTTAGAACTGCTCGGTGCAAACACRCAGTGGCCTTTTCTTCTGAGTAGCTATTACATGTTTTGCATGCATTTCAAGATAGCAGCTCCTTTGAAGGGATCTCTGCAGGAGCCTTTGGGCACTCAGCACAGTATTCTGTTGCTTCCCTGGTGTCACTCTAATGAGTTTAAATATGAAGCAGCTTAAAACATACCGGGGTTGTTCCCAAAACAGGTGAATAGTCAGTGGTTTATATTCATTGGAGCATTTCAGTCAGTTTTAATCACAACAGAATATGTTTGCATCTGGTCCCAGCCCTCCAAGTCCTGCCTCAGTGCTGTGGAGTAATTGCAGAATATGATTAAAGCTAATTGTTTTAATTGCCCATTGACTCAGGAAGATTTCTGATAGTGCTGGGAAGGATCTGATCGGTAAAGGAAAGGCTTTGTGGACTGTCTGCATCAGGACAGATCCCCACCAGCAGTGCTGTGAGGGGTGCAGATGAACCCATGTGCATCCTGCAGACACCCTGGGGATTATGGCTTGGAGAGAGGGGGCATGGGGCAGGAAACACAAGACATTTTGTCTGAATGCAGGAGGCAGAATCTGTGCACTGTGCCACTTTGCTTCTGATGCATTTGGGCTTGTCATTAGTTCACACCGTGTTCAAGCCCAGTGTAATATCACTGACTTCACTGGGGCTCCCATTTGATGCAGCTGTGAGTGAAAGTACAAGATTTGTCTGGGATTTAAAGCCAGAAATATGCGAATTTAAACCAAATATGTTTAATAAGGTGAAATACTTAATACCKAACCATTCCAAAAGCAGCATTTTTGTTGGAGGCAGTAGTAGAGAAGAATGATGGTCCACTAGCRAGCTCACCCATGTTGAGCTTGGAAACCTTTGTGTTCTTTGCTCTGCTGAGCCTGCATTGGCCTTTGCTGCAGCACTTAGGCTGCTCCATGTCTCATTTTCCCTCGGGGTAAGAGTGAACGTGCCTTCCTAGGACTATGTGAATTGCTTTGAAGATGTGTTAGCATGAAAATTTGTACAAATTCACTGATGTAGTGATAGGGAGGGCAAAGGGTTTGTGATTTTTTTATRTGTAACCATATAGTATCTGTGGAATCAGCCACTTCTGACAATGGAAGAAAAATACACCAGAAAACAGTGACACTGAGCTGAGCAGAAGTTTGCTGTAGGGCAGCAGGGTCTTCTAGGAGAGCACTGGCATGTGCTTATGATGCTCTTAGGCTTCATCTAGATGTTTGCTATCCTATTTGTATAGGATAAACATCCTTTCTAATCAGGTCTKCTAGTTAGGTACTTTGCTTGTGTTTTCCCATATTTGCTTGGTGAGTCAAAGCATTTTAAATAGTCTTTTTCATTTGAATAAGTGCAGTTGTAAGAAACAAAAAATATATTCCTGACTAAAATGAGCTAAGTTTTCATTTACAGACATGAGACAAACCAAGAAAAAWTCATGTTGCAAATGTTTTGACTATTAACATTTGCCATCCTTTCTGTTGAATCAGACGGTGCTCTTCCTCATGCTGCTCAGAGTGRATTTATATCAGTGGGGTCTGATTTCCAGGGCTTCTTCCACAAGAACTTTTCTACTAYCCATGCAGCTGTACTGAGTCCAGTGGATTTTTGCCTGATTTATTATCGCATGAACAAGGGCTGCACCAAGCTATGTGACTCCTGCAGTTTGATTTGATTTGCACTGATGCAGCTGACAGAAGGATTTGACTTGAATGATCTCACTGTTGCTGTGGCACTTGCATTGTAATTAAAAGCAGTGCTGTGTCATTATCTCTTTAGAAATGCACGCTGTGCCTGCACCTCTTAGCTCACTTCTTGTGCCTACAAGTGTCTGCTCTTCTGAATAACTCTGTTCACAAATATCATTATGTCCCTGGGCATCTGCTGTGAAGGGACAGAGGTCCACGTGCCATGTGTCCACACCCTGACTCCAAGGTGCTTCCCACTGTTATCCATTCCAGGGAATGCCAGTGAGCTCAGGGACAGCACRGGATGCTGATCATGGGCATTCATAACCTGTGCTGGCCGGGCAAACARGTGGGTGCTGATGCCTCTTGTGCTGTGTATGCACTGCTTGGGTCAAATCCTTGATCAAAAACTCCTGGAGCTGACAGTGTCTTTTGTCTTTTGACTGAATGCCTCCCAAATGCTTCTCTTTCATCTGTTTTCCTTCACTGATTATTTCCAAGCACTGCTGTGCAGCTTGGCCCAAATTCAGGAGCTGCTGATGCTCCAAGTGGTGCTGTAAAGCTGGCTGTAGGAATGGGCAAAAGCAGCAGCTCCCTAAGGTGGCAGAAAACTGCAGCCCCGTGCAACAGTGACTAAGTGTGCCCAAACCTCTCAGGGACAACAGAAGCAGTTGCTCTGAGGGTGCCTTGTGCCCAGATCGTCTCAGGACAGCTCATCCTTCTCCCATAGCCAGGGAGCCAAGGCAAAAACCAAAAGGTTTTGAGAAATCATACTCTATTCACCACCCAGCACATTTGCCTCATCAAGACTACCAGCCTTAATTCTCTAGGCCCTTCTCCTCTACTGCTTGCAACTTACCTTTTCTTGTTTATTTTCGACTTTATTTCCACAGTGTACTGAAATGATGTGTACTGAAACATTTGTTCACACAAATTAGGGAAGGTGATAGGTTCCCTCCCTGACCACATGCTCTCTCTTCTGTTCCAAGTCTTAATTAAAATGATACTAAAGGAAGCAAATCAATTAACAGATACCTTACAAGATGCTTTATTCACTTACACATGTACACACAATTACTTACAAGTATCACATTACTGCTTTAGTTTATCTGTTAGAAAATGCTGCTAATGAACTGCAGTGTTACTGAAATAGGTAACAGATACCCAGGAAACCAGGGAAAGTATTCCAATAGATCATGTTTCTCGCCAAACAAACTTTACATTTTGTTGTTCCAAATGTGTAGGAAATTACTATCCAGTTTCCTTTGCACATTTGAAAAATAACCTGCTTTGTGAAAGTCAGAAAAACCCCATGTTGAAATCCCTTTAGTTACAGTTACAAGTGGTACAGTAGCTTATTCTTTATCAAACCAAGATTCTGATATTCCTGTTCTTATGCTCCAAAAGCATGTTTCCTCTAAGTCCCTGACCCAGCACATTGGCTCTGCCTGATCAGAAAATTGATTACTGGATAGGAGACCCTGGTTTAAATTATTTTTCTGAATGATATTTCTTAATAACACTCAGAATTTCTGGGTTGGACTTCCGTCTTATAATTGCTTTTTTTTTTTTTTTAAGTTGGATTAGACCATATCACATTTTAAATGGTTGCAATCATCACACCTACAAAAGACATTAGTTATAAATAAAAAAAAAGATAAAACTTGAAGTGAATTAAATGTTTTCCTAATAACACAAAACATATATTTCCTGAGATATATGAGAAGCCTTATTTTGTTTTAACCTCAAATGAATGAACTTCCAAGCTGCTGAAATAATTATTGAAACATGGGTGTGACCATGATTTTGCTGCTGAATTCTATTGCTACTTGTCTGMTTACCTGGTGTTTAACCGACCTTAGAAATCAACCATATCCTTATCACGGAACAAAGAGGATATGTTAGTGAGCACAGCTCATCTATTTTATTTTGCTCATACATTTCCTTCATATGCATGCTGTCGGGGATTGCAGGTCTTTGGGGTGCAGGTGATTGAAGTTAGCCTGCATTATAAGCGCTTCCTGGAAACCATCAATCAGCCTTTCAACTAAAGAACAAAGAAAGGGATTGGCATTGGTGAGATCCCTGCCTGTGCACAAGAGACTTCTATTGATCCTCAGACCAGGTAACTGTTGATTGCAAAAGGGTTATTGATCCCTTGTACTTTGGTTTCTTATTGCATTGCTGTCATCTCTGAAAAGAAAGAAAAATCACAGGTTAACAATAAMTCTGGCTTTGGTTTTACTTGGATTATCCCAGGTAAAATATCATTGTAAAAGCTGAGCTGGGAGATACTCTAATAAAAATCACAGGAACTCTAGAAAATTATTAATGGAGATGATTTGGATTACATTAGTGAAGTTCCTTTCACTTTTCTTTTATTAGATGTTTCTTTGTACCTTTGGAGGCACCTGATTTTCCTCATTAACAGAACAAATGTGTGATTGGCTGTTGTGGTGACTTCCAGATGCCATTGTCACTGCCAGGCTGGAATCCAATGGCAGCCAGCCATGCATTTTAGGGTGGCATCCCGGTGCTCCCTGTCCTGCAGACACKGGACTATTGTCATTTGAGGTGCTTCCCTTCCTACAGAGTGGGGAGCAGCTGAGCAGCTCCTGGATCCCTGTTCCCTGCATCTTCCCAGGAGTCTGCTGTTCGAGTGCCTGCTGCTGTGGGGCAGCTGCATGGGGTACACAGCCTTGCAGTGTGCCCGGGCCATGTGCAGGGTATTGCCGGCAAACAGCGGGGCAGCTGGRGGGCAGCACGGTCAAATCTCCTGCCTTGGGCTGTGCAGTGTCCGGCAGRCCTGGGGTGCTCAGGGTACCCCACAGCGCCTTTTCCCGGGTGGATGTGCCTCTATTTCGTGTTTGTCCAGTACTGTCACTGCACCCACTGTGCCACCAGCACCCCCTGCTCCCAAAACATACCTGGTTTGGCTTGATCCCATATTTGACCTGCAAAGTATGGAGAGTGAAATGTTAATTGTGACTTTCAGAGCAATAATCAAAGATGAGAATGCATATTAGCGACACATTAGAGTTGGGGAAATGTAGGACTTTTTTTATCTTTTCTTCACTGCTGTGTGTTTTATTCAGTTTTACTCCATCTAGTGTCAGTGCTTGGGAATACGATCTTGCCTTGCAGCCCTCGACTTGTTTGTGTTAAATCTCATGAGTCCACAGAGAAATGAACTTCATCATAGTCCCACTCCTACAATACTTCTTAAGCATTTTCTGGTTGTCTTTGGTAAAGAAAGATGTCACGGGAGATTTGGTGGGTAGGGACAATGTGAAGCATAGTGTGCCTACTTTCCTTCTCTGAGAGGAATTTTGTCTCTCATTTGTCACTYATGTCACCTGTTAGAAAGCTGTGCCAAAATTTTCTGTTCATGTGAAATCCACTGTCCTAACTGCTAGTGTCTGTAAGATTCTGATTCTCATCTCTCTAGGCTGGCTCACAGTCCATGGGAGACCGCATGGTGAGATAGGCTGGAATCAGCTGGTTTTTTTCTGTTGTGTTCCATTTCCTCTCTAGTTTCTTTCTTTGGTTTGGGGCTGGGGTGAGTGAGCACAGCTCTGTAAGGTGGCAGTGCCTGCCCTGTCCTGCAGCCCATTCACAGCTCAGSTCCCATCCTGCCAGCTTTTCCCAGCCCTCTGGGAGCTTCCAGGGCATTCTTGAGGCTCTTGTGTCAAGAGGCCTTGGTTTGTGTTGGTTTTGAGCAGTCCTTTCACTATCATAGCAGCTTTCATTCCTGGCTAATCCAACGTTGTCACTTCTTTGACAAGTCCTGGGCAACACAGAGCTGCTCAGTCTGGTTGGCAGACTGGCACTGCCGGGGAGCAGGAGGCTCTTTGCTTGGTGGCATCTAATATTTGAGTTACCCTGGGTGCCTGTTGACAGGGGTG